TAAGCATGTGAAACATCATATATCAATAGGGAAATGCAACTTAAAACGGCCATGAGATGCCACTACACACCTACTAGAATGGCCAGAATCCAGAATAGGGATAACACCAAATGCTGGTGAGGATGTGAAGTGACAGAACTCTCCTTCATGCTGGTGGAAATGCAATAGTGCAGCTACTTTGGAAGACAGTTGAACGGTCATACCACCCTGAACGCGCCCGATCTCGTCTGATCTCTTGGAAGATAGTTGGGCAGTTTCTCACAAAACCAGACCTACTCTTAACATATGATTCAATAATCACACTCACTGGTATTTACACAAAGGAGCTGAAAACTTAACGTCCACACAGAACCTGCACACACATGTTTATAGCAGTTTTATTCATGATTGCTCCAACTTGGAAGCAACCAAGATGTCCTGGTGAATGAATAAATGAACGATGGTACATCCAGGCAATGGAATATTATTCAACTCTAAAACAAAATGAGCTATCAAGCCATGGAAAGACAAGGTGTTAAACTTACACGTATTACTAAAGAAAAGAAGCCAATCTGAAAATTCGATTACGTATTCTGTGATTCCAGCTACATGACATTCTGGGAAAGGCAAAACTATAGAGACAGTATAAAGATCAGTGGTTGCCAGGGGTTTGGTAGATGAATAGGCAGAGCAAAGAGGATTTGTAGGGCAGTGTAATTGTTCCATGTGCTATGGCAATGGTAGTGCTAGGATTTGTATGTGGTTTGTTTGGCCCCACCAAGTCTCTGTTGAAGTTTTATCCCCAGTGTTGGAGGTGGAGCCTTGTGGGAGGCATTTGAGTTATGGAGGTGGATCCCTCATGAATGGTGGTAATGAGGGAGTTTTCGCTCTTAGTTCAAATAAGAACAGATTGTTGCAAAGAGCCTGACACCTCCTCTCTTTCTTGCCTCCTGTCTCGTCATGTGATCTGCATATATTGGCTCCCCTTCACCTTCTGCCATGAGTGGAAGCTTCCTGAGGCCCTCATCAGAAGCAGATGTTGGTGCCATGCTTTTATTTTTATTTTTTTTGAGGCAGAGTCTTGCACTGTCGCCCAGTCTGGAGTGCCATGGTGCAATCTCAGCTCACTACAACCTCTATCTCTTGGGCTCAAGAGATCCTCCCACCTCAGCCTCCTGAGTAGCTGGGACTATAGGCATACACCACCATACCTGGCTAATTTTTTTTTTTTTTTTTTTGTACTTTTGGTAGAGACAGGGTTTCACCATGTTGCCCAGACTGGTTTCAAACTCCAGAGCTTGAGCGATCTGCCCACCTCAGCCTCCCAAAGTGCTGGGATTACAGATGTGAGCTACCATGCCCAACTGTCACGCTTTTGTGTAATACAGAGAGTGAACCCTAATGTCAACTTGGACTGGTGATGATGATGTGTCAACGCAGGTTCGTCACCTGTAACAACTATCCCATGCTGGTGGTGGGGGATGTTGGCAGTGGGGGAGGCTGTGCCCGTATGAAGACAGGGAATATATGGAAACTTTATATTTCTGCTCAATTTTGCTGTGAACCTAAAACCGCTCTAAAAAATAAAGCCTATTAAGAAAACAAAACACAACAATAAAAAACTCTATGAGGGGAAAAAGGTAAGACAAGGGGTAGTAAGAGCCTACAGAAGTTGTGGGCTGGGGCCTGGGCTGGGGCCTGAGTTGGGCAGAGGCAATGGGGCTGGGTAGAAGGGATTCAGAAGCATCCACAGGAGTTAGCCTGCTTGGATGGTGGGAGGGCAAGGAAGAGGGAGCGTGCTGAAGCTTCTTGCTTAACTAGCGATGTGGTGCCATGAACAGAGATATCGTGAACCACCTTCAGTATGATAGGCAGTGCCTGTAGGCCAGAGATTGCACCAGAAGATGGGGAGGGAAGGAAGAGGCCTTATAACTGACTAAGATACGAGAAACCACATTTCATTCTTTTATATAAGAAATGCCCTGTTGATTTGTCATTTTTCTGTTTTGTGCATCACTTATAGGACATAATGCCATCAGTAACCCATATAAGAAAATTCACAGCCTGAACTGGCTTTGTGGAAGACCCAGGCACACTGGGAGGAGAAGGCCAGCCCTATAGGCTGGAAGCGACATTCCCATAGATAAAGGGCAGAGCATGAGCACACTGAGAGAGACAGGAGATGAAAAGACAAAAACTTCTTGCAAAGGATGGGTGTGTTCAGAGGCTGATGAGCTGCAGGTTGCAGAGAGGCCCTATCATGGCCCTCTGTTATTTGCGCTGTCTGCTCCCTTCTCTGGTGGTAGCACTCCTGCCACTCCTCATCATCCTGGTATGGACGTGAGTTTTCTCTGCCCTGACCCCAGTCCATCCTCCATCCTGCTGTGCCCCACTCTGTGCTCAAGGAGACTGACTATAGACCTCATCCTCTGGTTCTCTGGCTGGCTGGTTTCTGATTGGGCCCTGCAGGAGATTGAGGAGGAGGGAGAGGGTGGGCTGTTTGTTCCCTGTTCCCTCCTTGCCTTGCAAAGGCTGTGCTGTGCCCTCAAGACCACAGCAGCCCCACCCTGCTGGCCCCAGGCCTAATGACTCCTCTGAGGACTCTCCACCCTTGGCCCTGCAAACTTAGGCATGGTCATGGCTTCCCTCTATTGCTAGTCCCTGGGTGCTAGAATATTCTTGGATAGTTCCCTTAACCCAACTCACATGGCTGTGAATGATCCCTTCATTAAAGTCTCTTCAGGCAACCATTTCAGGGAGAAATTGTGTTCTTGAGAAGTACAGAGATTAACAAAGGCTGTCATTGACCATTGTGGACCAAGGTGTGAGGGCAGGGCCACGCCTGCTGTTGTGAGGAATGGGCGAAGGTGCGAATCCTACCCAAAGTTGCACTCATCTGCTGGCTTGCAAGTACATTATCCAGAGCCATAGACAAAACCTATGGGTACAGGCAGGTGCTGCCTCCTGCCTCCTTGCAAGCAGACAGCACTGGTGAAGGCTCCAAAGAGGAAGGTGGCCCTGGTGGGCCCTTTGACCCTTCTAGGTCATTCTGTCAGGGTGGAGCATGGATAGGGGAGGGAGGAGGTATGGGTGGGAGGAATGCAACACAGAGGGGTGGGACAGACAGAGGGGTGAGGAGTCTGCAGCAGCTTTGGTGGGCAGTGGTGAAGACCTGACATAGGAAAGTGGCAGAGACAAGGGAGGGCATCTGAGAACTATTCAGGAGATAGACTCAACGTCCCGACCCTCAGTCTTTGAATTTGAGGGTGAGGGAGGCAATGACAGTTCATGTTCTGGAGTGGGTTCCTGAGTAGGTAGAGATGCTGGCCACATGCTCCCACTTACATGGTGAGGGGCAGCGCTGGTCAGGGCCAGGAGCTGCTTTCTATTGTGGACACATCAATGTGTAGGGCCGGCCACCTTTCATATGAACAGAATCATACACTGTGTGGTCTTTTGTGACTGGCTTCTGTCACTTAGCACAATGTTCTCAAGGTTCATCCATGCTGTAGCATGGACCAGTGCTTCATTTTAATTGTCAAATAATAACATTCTATTCTATAGAAGTAGCACATTTTATTTATCCATTCATTTATTGGTGTATGTTTGGGTTGCTTCTGGTTTTTGGCTGTGATAAATGATGCTGCTGTGAACACTTGTGTACAAGTTTTTATGTGGACATCCATCTTTATTTCTCTTGGGTATATACCTGCAAGCACAGTTGCTAGCCAGGAGTACAAATGGTAACTCTATGTTTAATATTGTCAGGAACTGCCAGACTGTTTTTACAAAATGCCTCTCTAATTTTAGTAACATCTTTATGTTTTAAAGTCTTTTTGTTTGATATTAGCATAGCAACCCTAGCTTTCTTCTGCTTATCCCTTGTCTTTTAAAAAAGATGATTTTAATCACAAATGCATATAGCCTTAAGTAATATATTAGAGGATTTAGTTATGCATATTTGAACTTCATAAAAATAGTATCATACTGTAAATGTAGTTTCTTGAACTTTTCACTCAACATACTATTTCTTTCTTTTCCTTTCTTTTCTTTTTTTTGTTGAGATGGAGTTTCGCTCTTGTTGCCCAGACTGGAGTGCAATGGCGTAATCTTGGCTCACCACTCCCTCTACCTCCCAGGTTCAAGCAATTCTCCTGCCTCAGCCTCCAGAGTAGCTGGGATTACAGGCATGTGCCACCATGCCCAGCTAATTTTTGTATTTTTAGTAGAGATGGGGTTTCTCCATGTTGGTCAGGCTGGTCTGAACTCTTGACCCCAGGCTATCCGCCTGCCTTGGCCTCCCAAAGTGCTGGGATTACAGGCGTGAGCCACCGTGCCTGGCCTCAATAGGCTGTTTCTAAGACCCACCTATGTTATAGTATGCAGCTACAGTATAATTAATTCATGTTCTCTGCTGTATAATATTCCATGGCATGACCCTTTCATAATATATTGATCCATTCTCCTGTCAGTGGCTATTTGGCATGCTTCCAGTGTTTTGCTCTGACAAATTTATTGCTGCTATAAATATTTCTATACACCTCTCCTGATATAAGAGTTTCTCTTGTTCTCAGAGCAACTAGCAGTATAACTACTATCTAGGAACTAGTTAGAAATGCAACTTCTCAAGTCCCACCCAAGACCGACTGAGTCAGAAACTGTGGGGTAGGCCCAGCAATCTGTGTTGTAATAAGCCCTCCAGGTGACTCTGATACCTGATAAAGTTTGAGGTCCACTGCTCTAGGGTATAAAGTAGGAGTGAAATTTCTAGATTGCAGGTAATTAGTTGTTTTCTGAAGTGGTTGTTCCATGTTTTCATGGAGACCCACCTGCTGAGCACTTAGTATTGTCAGACTTCTTTATTTTGCCCACTGGGTGAATCAGTCTGATTGGTCTTCCCTACATAGAGGCATGGGTGTGGCTGTCAATTTCTGTCCAGGGAGCCAGAGCCACACCATGCACGCTGACCCCTCGGCTGTCACTGTGGATGAAGCCTTCTTCAGTGTGGTTTGTTTTGACAGGAGTACATGCATCACCTGCTCGCCCTGGAGCACCGCGCTGAGGAGCAGTTCCTGGAGCACTGGCTGAACCCTCACTGCAAACCCCATTGTGACAGGAACAGGGTTCATCCTGTGTAAGGGGCTTGGGACCAGCCTCGGTATGTCCCCTTCTCCCAGGACTTCTGTCTGAGGGGTAGTGGGGGATAGCATGGCATGGGCTGGGAGACTTTCTGGACCATGCCTCAGGGGGACCAGCTGGTTAGCTGGTTATGGGTCTGGAGTGGGGGTGGCAAGATTGAGGCAGGAGAAGTAGAGGGGAGCCAAGAGACATAGAGGGGAGCTGGGGGACACACAGAGGATCCCAACCTCTATTGAGTCACCAAGTGATCCCAAATGGGGAGGGATGTGACCCTATTTGCCACCTAGAAAAGCCCTCTCTGAACCCAAATCTGGAGAGGTGTATTTTGTTGAGGCTTGGGTCTCTTCAGGTGGGCTCAGCACGTGTGGAGTCAACTTGTGACATTTACCACAATCATCACTACTGTCATCAAGATCAACAACTTCTTTCCCAGTTCTCGCTCCTGTCCCCCACTGCCTTCCTGCAGCCTTCAAGGCTGGCAATCTGCCAAACCCACACTTTGTCTTTCCCTTCCCCATGACTTTCGTTTTCAGCCCACCAGCAAGGGACTGCCCAGCGTTCCCCCAACACCCTGCATGCCACTGGCTGTGCTCCTCTGTTCCTAGATGAGGCTGTTTGCTTCTTCCTGTCTGTCCTTATCGTCTTCCTGCCTTTCCAAATCCTGTTAGTTAAGGTAGCAAAATTCCTTCAGAAGGTAAGCCCAGTGAATTTTGTTTCTCCGCTGTAAGTTTTATGGACCAAACAGGACAAGTTATAATCAGATAGTTTAATTTTGTGGTTAGGAGAAATCTTATACCTTTGCTGTTGTTTATTTTGTGCTATGGTGAATGGACACAGGGACACTCTTATTAATCACTCTTTATAATATAACATAAATGGCCTCATGTGATCCTCTTAACACCCTGGCATCATTGCAGGGCATGGACTTTAACCCCATTTTAAAGAGGAGCTAACTGCGCATGATTAAGCACTAGCTCATACTAAGCAGTGGTTGGTATGTCAGGCTTCTGACCACTGTAAATATGCATGCCTTGTATGGACTGTGTTGCTCAGTCCTGTGTATATGTAGGCATGGGCTCACTCTGAGGGTGCTTTCACAGATAATCATCTGCTGGCAGTGGAATAGAAGTTCTGTTTTTGAGGGGTAGGAGTGGGCTGACATCCCTCTTCTAATTCTTCCGGCTTCTGCAGCTCATTCTAGGTCAGGGTTCTGGTGTGCCTGGGCCTGGCTTCCAACTCCCAGGCTGCTGGCCTCCCCTGCACCAAGGGCCTTTGTCAAGCAAGCCAAGCCCTTGCTTGGCTTCTTCCAGAAAACGACTGTGGAGCAATTAGATGCTCAGGCTCTGGAACTGGCCAGAGCTGAGTTTGACTTTCTGAGTTCCAGCTCTGTGGCCTTGGGCAAGTTGCCTAACTTCTCTGAGTCTTTGTTTCTGCCTCTGCAAGTTGGTATAATAATGATGTCTAGGGAGCCTGGTGCATAGTAAGTGACTCCAAAAATAAAAGCACTCATTACTGTTGTGCAGTTGAGGTTAAAGGAGAGACTTCTCCATTCAGCCCCACAGTAGTGTCCTCCAAGGTGTGACTGAGGCCTCTGATTCTTGGTAGGACATGTGCTGCTAGTGAGCCTGGGTGCCTAGCTCCTGCAAACATCGGGTTCCACAGAGGCCTTACTCCAGGCAGCTCCCACTTACATAAAGACAAGGAAGCAGTGGCTGGAGAAATGTGTCAACTTGGAATTGGGAGTCAGACAGCAGCTTTCAGATAATGAGTCCTCCAGTCACTGGCTGAATAACCTTAGAAAAAAAATGCCTAACTGAACCTTAGAAAAAGATGTCACAATCATCTGTAAAATGAGGATAGTAATGGTTCCTTCCTTATGCTTCTAGGATTAAAAAAGTCAATGCCTGGAAAGTAGTTAGTGTTGCCCTGGCACACATAGGAAGTGCTCAGAAAATGATAGCTGGTTGGTGTTTGTTCTTCCTTGGTCTACTCATCCTCTTCCTAGTCTCCTCCTTCCCCCCACTTCTGGTTCTTCATCACCATCATAACAATCACCACCACCGTCATCACCATCACTACCACCATCACTACCACCACGACCACCACCATCACAACCATCATCACCACCAACACCATCACCGTCATCACCATCACTACCACCTCACCATCACTACCATCACCACCACTACCACCATCGCCACCACCATCGCCATCACCATCACTACCACCATCACCACCACCATCACCATCACCACCACCATCACCATCACGACCATCATCACCATCACTACCACCATCACCACCATCATCACCATCACCACCACCATCACCACCATCATCACCATCACCATCATCACCATCACCACCACCACAATCACCACCATCACCACCACTACCGTCACCATCACCACCACCACCATCATCACCTTCACTACCACCATCACCACCACCATCACCATCACCATCATCATCACCATCACCACCACCACCATCATCACCATCACTACCACCATCACCACCATCATCACCATCACCATTACCACCATCACCATCACCATCATCATCACCATCACCATCATCATCGCCATCAACACCATCACCATCATCACCATCACCACCACCATCACCACCGTCATCACTGTCACTACCACCGTCACCATGACCACCGCTATCACCACCATCACCATCACTACCACCATCACCATCATCATCACCATCACCATCATCACCACCGTCATCACTGTCACTACCACCATCACCATGACCACTGCTATCACCACCATCACCATCACTACCACCACCATCACCATCACCACTACCACCACCACTATCATCACTGTCATCACCACCACCAGCATCATAACCGTCATCAGTATCACCACCACCACCATCATCAGTATCATCACTATTACCACCACCATCACCATCATTACCATCACTGCCACCACCATCATCACCACCATCATTATTATCATTCTAATGTTATTTTCTTGTTCTTTTTCAGCAAGCATTTTAATAGGCAACAACCCGGATAATGTTGAAACAAGACAAGGCTGCTTCTTTCATTTTTTTTTAAATTGTGGAAATGGATGTCTTCAGACCTCGTGAACTGTGGGCATGTCAAAGGTTGTCTTGGAAATAGCAAATATATATACTGCTTCATTTTGCTAACCTGCATAAATCACTAAAACCAATAGCTGAAAACATAGACACTTTCCAAAGGTCTTCCCATCAGTTTGTAAGAGTGGGAAGAACCAGAATCTTACCTGGGGCTGATGGAGCTGGAACCCCCAGACCAGGAGTTGGGGCAGGCTGCCTGCCCTAAAGAATTTGGGGAAGCCTTGTTCAGAGTAGTGAAGCATACCACTTGGGGTTGCTGAGTTGTTTTGTCATCTATTTTTTTCTTCTTCTTTTCTGCCCTAATAAACATGGATATTAAATTTAATTTTAGTGGTCTCTTCCTTTCACTCTTTTTTTTGTTTTTCTGAGATGGAGTCTTATTCTGTCACCCAGGCTGGAGTGCAGTGGCATGATCTTGGCTCACTGCAACCTCCGCCTTCCAGGTTCAAGCGATTCTCCAGCCTCAGCATCCTGAGTAGCTGGGACTGCAAGTGTGCGCCACTGTCTCCGACTAATGTTTGTATTTTTAGTAGAAACAGCATTTCACTATGTTGGCCAGGCTGGTCTGGAACTCCTGACCTCAGGTGATCTACCCCCCCTTGGCCTCCCAAAATGCTGGGATTACAGGTGTGAGCCACTGCCACCAGCCTCTTCCTTTCTCTGTAAGAAGTGAAGCAGAGATTTTTTCCCCCTTGTTTATCTTTGCAAATCTAGCATCAGAAAGCTTACTTTTCTTTGAATGAATGAAAATACAAATGCCCAGCAATTTTGCACAAGGGCAACATATATATATATGTGTATATGTATGTGTATGTATATGTATATGTATATATGAGATTATTTGCCCAAGGCCAGCTCTGGAAATAGGGCCATTGCTTAATACCAGTTGCACACTCTGGTGTTTCAGCAAAGGCAGCATTTCTTGAGAAAAGTGGGTTGTAGCTCCTGTATCCCAGAGGCCCTCACCCGCCCTATAATCCCAGAATCAAAGATTGGAGAATTAGAGGCCAAGAAAAGCAGAAATTTGGAGGGCAAAGGAAGGTGGGCCACATGATTCTAGGGAAAGAAGAATCTGGCATCTTCAAAAGGAAGGAGGGATACCCACACACCCAGGGCTACAGAGGAGGGCTTGTCCCAAGGGAGGTAGGGTAGTGTATTAGTTCATTATGCATTGCTAGAAAGAAATATCTAAGACTGGGTGATTTATACAGAAAAGAGGTTTAATTGGCTCACAGTTCTTCAGGCTATACAGGAAGCATGACACTGGCACCTGCTTGGCTTCTGGGGAGGCCTCAGGAAACTTACAATCATGGTGAAAGGTGAAGTGGGAGCAGACATGTCACATGGCCAGAGCAGGAGCAGGAAGGGAGCAGGAAGATGACACACATTTTTAAACAACCAGATCTTGTGAGAAGCCGCTCACTATTGTGAGAACAGTACCAAGGGGATGGTACTACACCATTCATGAGAAACTGCCTCCATGATCCAATCAGCTACTACCAGACCCCACTTCCAACATTTAGGATTAAATTTCTACATGAAATTTGGGCAGGGACACAGATCCAAACTATATCAGGTGTGTTTGTCTAGGGAAAAAGGTACTGAACCTCCCAATAATAATAATACCAACATTTTGGGTCAAACTCCATACAGATGGTCCCTGAGTTACATGAAAGTGATATGCCTTCAGCCAAAACCATACTTCAAGGACTCCATATGACCATTCGGGTTTTCACTTTCAGTACAGCATTCAATAAATCATATGATGAGCTCTTCAACACTTTATTATGAAATAGACTTTGTATTAGATGATCTTGCCCAACTGCTAACATAAGTGTTCTGAGCACATTTACAGTAGAGCTAGGCTAAGCTGTGATGTTTGGTAGGTTAGGTGTATTAAATGCATCTTTGACTTCCAGTGAGTTTACTAGGATGTAACCCCATCGTAAGTCTACGAGCATCTGTACTATCCCCAATTTATAGATGAGGAAACTGAGGTTTACAGAATTTAGGCAGTGTATTAGTTTTCTATTTTGACTAACAAATTACTTAGTGGCTTAAAACAACACATTAATTATCTTATGTTCTGTATGTTAGAAGTCCAAAAGGGGTCTCACTGGGTTAAATCAATGTGTCAATAGGGCTGCATTCCTTTCCTTTCTGAAGGCTCTTTGGGTGAATCTATTTCTTTGTCTTTTCTGGCTACCCTCCTTTCTTAGCTGGTGACTCCTTCCTTCATTTCAAAGCCAGCAATGGTGAGTTGAGTCTCACGTCATATCACTCTGCTGTTCTCTTTGGCCTCCATCTTCTGCTTTTAAGGACTGTTATCATTACATTGGGCCCTTTAGATAACTCAGGATAACTAGGTCAGTTGATTAGCAACTTTTTTATTTTATTTTATTTTTTTTTGAGACGGAGTTTCACTCATGCTACCCAGGCTGGAGTGCAATGGCACGATCTCGGCTCACTGCAACCTCCGCCTCCTGGGTTCAGGCAATTCTTCTGCCTCAGCCTCCTGAGTAGCTGGGATTACAGGCACGCGCCACAATGCCCAGCTAATGTTTTGTATTTTTAGTAGAGACGGGGTTTCACCATGTTGACCAGGATGGTCTTGATCTCTTGACCTCGTGATCCACCCGCCTCGGCCTCCCAAAGTGCTGGGATTACAGGCTTGAGCCACCACGCCCGGCGATTAGCAACTTTAATTCCACTCACAATGCTAATTCCCACTTGCCATATAAGGTAACATTTTCACAGGTCCAGGGGTTAGGACATGGATATTGTAATGCCCCATGTTTGTTAGGGCAGAAAAGAAGAGGAAAAGAAGAGGAAAAAAACATCTTAGGGAAGTCATCATTCTGCCTACCCCAGGCAGTTTGTTCAGGTTCATATAGCTGGTGGGTAGAGGACCTGGGATTTGAACCTGGAAAACCCCTTACTACTCTGGCTCCTCACCCAAACATTCTGCACCTCTGCCCTAAACCTGATATTCTTCTGCCTTGAATGAAGTAGTTTTCTAAACTGAGTTCCTTGAGGGCTGAGGACGCATCTTATCAAGACTCAACTGCACTCCTTACCTAGCTGGGATGTCATCTGAGCACAGACACATTCTATGGGCTCTGATATTTAGTGCCAGGACTTGCCCAGGGTACATGGTACAGTGCTGGACAGAATGATCCCTCAGTCTACCTCCCCACCTGCCTCTCAGAGTGGTCTACAAGAAGTAGGAGCTGAATCTGTGCATGTGGAACAGAGTGCACAGGAATGAGACTAACAGGTCCTAAAAGAGAGAAGGAGGGAAGCAGAATTAAAAATAAATCAGACCCACAGGGAACCAGAGTCCTGCATCTAGGAAGAGAAGGAAGGGCTTCCTTGAGGTTCTAAGGACCCTGGGTATGGCTCACATATCAGGGGCAAAAACTTCCTTTAAGAACAAACAAAGAGGATTCTTCTTCAGTCACATTCAGCCTGGTTCTCAGCCTCCTCTCCTTGACACGTAAAATGAGGTACTTATCCAGAACACACTCTCTTGAGGCCCACAGATGAAGGGGCTAAAGTACATTCATTCACAGTGAGATTGATGCAACTTCACACCCCCTTTGCCCACCACCAAAGTTTCTCAGAGGGCAGGTGAGTGACAAATCTTGAAAGTGGCGGACAGCAATAGTTCATAATCCAGGCTTGGAGTCAGACTGCCTGAATTCAAATCCTTCCTCCACTGACTAGATGTGTGTCCTTGGGCAAGCTAATTAACCTCTTTGGGCCTGAGTTTCCTTGTCTGTAGAATGAGAATGGTTATAGTACTTAGTTCAAAATGCCATTGTAATAATTAGTTTATTGAGTAAACACTTCATGAAACTAGCTATTATTATTTTAAAAATTCTTGGGCATTATTCTATTAATCAAGACAAAGTATCTTGTCTCTGCCTCTGTTTCTATTTTTTAAAAAAACTTTTATTTAGAGAAAAGGTGGAGAGTGTTTGGGTGACTTAGAGTCAGAAGGCCTCCCTACTTGAGAAAGGGTTGCCATCTTTACAATATTGCATCTTCCTATCTATGAATATGGTCTATCTCTCCATTTACTTAGACCATTTTTATGTTCATCATTAAAATTTTACAATTTTCTTTGTAAAGATCACACATTTTTTAAAAAACAGCACTAATCCTAGATACATTATAGATCTTTAACAATTATAACTGGAATTTTCTTAAATTTACATTTTCTAGTTGGTTATTCTGGTATGTGTAGGAATAATATTGATTTTTTTTTTTTTTGAGATGGAGTTTTGCTCTTGTCACCCAGGATGGAGTGCAGTGGCATGATCTCTGCTCATTGCAACCTCCATCTCCCAGGTTCAAGTGATTCTCCTGCTTCAGCTTCCTGAGTAGCTGGGAATACAGGCACATGCCACCACTCCCTGCTAATTTTTTGTATTTTTAGCAGAGACGGGGTTTCATGCCCAGCTAATTTTTTGTATTTTTAGTAGAGATGGGGTTTCACCATGTTAGGCAGGATGCTCGATCTCCTGACCTCGTCATCCTTCTGCCTTGGCCTCCCAAAGTGCTGGGATTACAGGCGTGAGCCACCACGCCTGGCTTGTATTCATTTTTGTATATTGTTTGTATCCAGAAGCATCCCCCCGGGAAAGTTCTATGGTGGAGCAGAAACAACTTTACCAAGGGTATCTCCAGTGGATGCAGCTCATAGGTCTTCAAGCTACTGGCAGAAGCATTCTGGCTTATTGACTAACACATGTGCTTCCTGAAACAGGCAGAGACAATTGGCTATTATGGCCTGGGTTTGGGATCAGAAAAAATGGGCATAAGGATTTCCAGAGGGAATTACATTTCATAGTTCATCTAATGAACACTGAGGCCCTTGAAAAACAGTATGCTTATTCTTCCTAGAGGTTCAAAGAGAAATAAGATCTCAGTTCAAACGAACTTACTGTCTAGTCGGGGAGACAGATAGCTGCTCTATAGAACAGGGGTTGGTAAACTTTTTCTGTAAAGGGCCTGACAGCAAGTATTTTTGTCTTTTGGGCCATATCATCTCTGTCACAACTACTTTGCTATTGTATTTGTAAAGCAGCCAAAGGCAGTAAGTAAACAAAGGGGCATGGCTACTGTATAGAGGGATAAGTAGTGGACAATTATGGGGTAAATGGTGGAGGGGAAAGAAACCTAGTTGTGGAGTGAGACAGATTCTAATTGCAATTTAACCTTCTGCTGAGTGGTATGACTAGGTGAATCACTTACTTTCTTCAAGTCTACTGCTCCCTCATATATTTATATATTTTTTTGAGATGGAGTTCCGCTTTTGTT